CCCTTGTGATGATGGACCTGAGAGTGAACATAGTTTGCACAAACACATCCTTTTGGGATGATGGGAAAGAGAGTACATAGTTTGCACGAACACCATCCTGTGTGATGATGGAACATGAGAGCGAACATAGCTTGCACGAACACCATCCTGTGTGATGATAAAAATGAGAGTGAACATAACTTGCCGAAAACCATCCTGTGTGATGATGGAACATGGGAGTGAACAAACTGCACGAACCCCACCTGTGTATGGGGAACATGAGATGAACTGCTTGCACGAACCCATCCTGTGTGATGAGAACATGAGAGTGAATATAGCTTGCACGAACACCATCCTGTGTGATGATGGAACATGAGAGTGAACATAGCTTGCACGAACACCATCCTGTGTGATGATGGAACATGAGAGTGAACATAGCATGCACGAAACCATCCTTTTGTGATGATGGAACATGAGGGTAAATATAACTTGCACGAACACCATCCTGTGTGATGATGGAACATGAGTGAACATAGCTTGCACGAACACCATCCTGTGTGATGATGGAACATGAGAGTGAACATAGCTTGCACGAACACCATCCTGTGTGATGATGGAACATGAGAGTGAATATAACTTGCACGAACACCATCCTGTGTGATGATGGAACATGAGAGTGAACATAGCTTGCACGAACACCATCCTGTGTGATGATGGAACATGAGAGTGAACATAGCTTGCACGAACACCATCCTGTGTGATGATGGAACATTAGAGTGAATATAACTTGCACGAACACCATCCTGTGTGATGATGGAGCATGAGAGTGAACATAGCTTGCACGAACACCATCCTGTGTGATGATGGAACATGAGAGTGAACAAAACTTGCACGAACACCATCCTTTTGTGATGATGGAACATGAGAGGGGAACAAGCTTGCACAAAACACCATCCTTTTGTGATGATGGAACATGAGAGTGAACATAACTTGCACGAACACCATCCTGTGTGATGATGGAACATGAGAGTGAACATAGCTTGCACGAACACCATCCTGTGTGATGATGGAACATGAGAGTGAACATAACTTGCACGAACACCATCCTGTGTGATGATGGAACATGAGAGTGAACATAGCTTGCACGAACACCATCCTGTGTGATGATGGAACATGAGAGTGAACATAGCTTGCACGAACACCATCCTGTGTGATGATGGAAAACATGAGAGTGAACATAGCTTGCACGAACACCATCCTGTGTGATGATGGAACATTAGAGTGAATATAACTTGCACGAACACCATCCTGTGTGATGATGGAGCATGAGATTGAACATAGCTTGCACGAACACCATCCTGTGGGGATGATGGAACATGAGAGTGAACATAACTTGCACGAACACCATCCTGTGTGATGATGGAACATGAAGTGAACATAGCTTGCACGAACCCCATCCGGGTGTGATGATGGAACATGAGAGTGAACATAACTTGCACGAACACCATCCTGTGTGATGATGGAACATGAGAGTGAACATAGCTTGCACGAACACCATCCTGTGTGATGATGGAACATGAGAGTGAACATAACTTGCACGAACACCATCCTGTGTGATGATGGAACATGAGAGTGAACATAGCTTGCACGAACACCATCCTGTGTGATGATGGAACATGAGAGTGAACACAGCTTGCGGGTGTTCCACTGTCTCACTCACATATATAATAACTTAGCAACACTCTTCATGGATCTTCTTTTCTTGAGCAATAATAAACCTTACTTCTGACCTCCCTCACGCCCCTCCCACTATGAACCTCCCTCACGCCCCTCCCACTATGAACCTCCCTCACGCCCCTCCCACTATGAACCTCCCTCACGTCCCTCCCACTATGAACCTCCCTCACGTCCCTCCCACTATAACCTCCCCACGCCCCTCCCACTATGAACCTCCCTCACGTCCCTCCCCACTATGAAACCTCCCTCACGTCCCTCCCACTATGAACCTCCCTCACGTCCCTCCCACTATGAACCTCCCTCACGTCCCTCCCACTATGAACTTCCCTCACGCCCCTCCCATTATAAACCCTCCCTCACGCCCCTCCCATTATGAACCTCCCTCACGCCCTCCCACTATGAACCTCCCTCACGTCCCTCCCACTATGAACCTCCCTCACGTCCCTCCCACTATGAACCTCCCTCACGTCCCTCCCACTATGAACCTCCCTCACGCCCCCTCCCACTATAACCTCCCTCACGCCCCTCCCACTATGAACCTCCCTTACGCCCTCCCACTATGAACCTCCCTCACGCCCTCCCAGTATGAACCCCCCTCAGCCCCTCCCACTATGAACCTCCCTCACGCCCCTCCCATATGAACCTCCTCACGTCCCTCCCAGTATGAACCTCCCCACGCCCCTCCCACTATGAACCTCCCTCACGTCCCTCCCACTATGAACCTCCCTCACGTCCCTCCCACTATGAACCTCCCTCACGTCCCTCCCACTATGAACCTCCCTCACGCCCCTCCCACTATAACCCTCCCTCACGCCCCTCCCACTATGAACCTCCCTCACGCCCCTCCCAGTATGAACCTCCCTCCGGGTCCCTCCCATATGAACCTCCCTCCACCCCTCCCAGTATGAACCTCCCTCACGTCCCTCCCACTATGAACCTCCCTCACGTCCCTCCCACTATGAACCTCCCTCACGTCCCTCCCATATGAACCTCCCTCACGCCCCTCCCACTATGAACCTCCCTCACGCCCCCCCCACTATTGAACCCTCCCTCACGCCCCTCCCACTATGAACCTCCCTCACGCCCCTCCCACTATGAACCTCCCTCACGCCCCTCCCACTATGAACCTCCCTCACGCCCCTCCCACTATGAACCTCCCTCACGCCCCCCCACTATAACCTCCCCACGCCCCTCCACTATGAACCTCCCTCACGCCCCTCCCACTATGAACCCCCTCACGTCCCTCCCACTATGAACCTCCCTCACGCCCCTCCCACTATGAACCCCCCTCACGCCCCTCCCACTATGAACCTCCCTCACGCCCCCTCCCACTATGAACCTCCCTCACGCCCCCCACTATGAACCTCCCTCACGCCCCTCTCACTATGAACCTCCCTCACGTCCCTCCCATATGAACCTCCCTCACGCCCCTCCCACTATGAACCTCCTCACGCCCCTCCCATATAAACCTCCCTCACGTCCCTCCCACAATGAACCCCCCTCACGCCCCTCCCACTATGAACCTCCTCACGCCCCTCCCACTATGAACCTCCCTCACGTCCCTCCCACTATGAACTCCTCAGTCCCCACTAGAACCTCCCTCACGCCCCACCCACTATAAACCCTCCCTCACGTCCCTCCCACTTTTGACCTCCCTCACGTCCCCCCCACTATGAACCCCCCTCACGCCCCCCCCACTATGAACCTCCCTCACGCCCCTCCCACTATGAACTCCCTCACGCCCTCCCACTATGAACCCCCTCACGCCCCTCCCACTATGAACCTCCCTCACGTCCCTCCCAGTATGAACCCTCCCTCACGCCCCCCCACTATGAACCTCCCTCAGCCCCTCCCACTATGAACCTCCCTCACGCCCCTCCCACTATGAACTTCCCTCACGCCCCTCCCATATGAACCTCCCTCACGCCCTCCCCACTATGAACCTCCCTCACGCCCCTCCCATGTGAACCTCCCCACGCCCCTCCCACTATGAACCTCCTCACGCCCCTCCCACTATAAACCCTCCCTCACGCCCCGTCCCACTATGAACCTCCCTCACGCCCCTCCCACTATGAACCTCCCTCACGCCCCTCCCACTATGAACCCCCCTCACCCCCCTCCCACTATAAAACCTCCCTCACGCCCCTCCCACTATGAACCTCCCTCACGCCCCTCCCAGTATGAACTCCCTCACGCCCCTCCCACTATAACCCCCCTCACGCCCCTCCCACTATGAAACTCCTACACCCTTTCCCACTATGAACTCCTCACGCCCTCCACTATGAACTCCTCAGCCCCTTCCACTATGAACCTCCTCACGCCCTCCCACTATGGAACTCCCTCACGCCCCTCCACTAGAACCGCCTCACGCGTCTCCCACTATGAACTCCATACCCTCTCCCCTATGAACCTCCTCACGCCCTCCACTATAACTCACGCCCCTCCAAACTATGAACTCTCAGGGCCCTCCCATAAACCTCCCTCACGCCCTCCACTATGAACCTCCCTCACGCCCCTCTCACTATGAACCTCCCTCACGTCCCTCCCACTATGAACCTTTCCCTCACGTCCCTCCCACTATGAACCTCCCTCGCGCCCCTCCAGTATGAACCTCCTCACGTCCTCCCCTATGAACCCCTCAGTCGCTCCACTGAACCTCCCTCACGCCCCTCCCAGTATGAACCTCCCTAAACCCCCTCCCAGTGTGAACCTCCCTCACGCCCCCTCCCAGTATGAACCTCCCTCACGCCCCTCCCACTATGAATTTTCCCCTCACGCCCTCCCACTATGAACCTCCCTCACGTCCCTCCCACTATGAACCTCCCTCACGTCCCTCCCACTATGAACCTCCCTCACGCCCCTCCCACTATGAACCTCCCTCACGTCCCTCCCATTATGAACCTCCCTCACGTCCCTCCCACTATGAACCTCCCTCACGCCCCTCCCACTGTGAACCTCCCTCACGCCCCTCCATATGAACCTCCCTCACGCCCCTCCCAGTATGAACCTCCCTCACGCCCCTCCCAGTATGAACCTCCCTCACGCCCCTCCCAGTATGAACCTCCCTCACGCCCTCCAGTATGAACCTCCCTCACGCCCCTCCCAGTATGAACCTCCCTCACGCCCCTCCCACTATGAATCTCCCTCACGCCCCTCTTACTATGAACCTCCCTCACGCCCCTTCCACTATGAACCTCCCTCACGCCCCTCATAGTATGAACCTCCCTCACGCCCCTCCCAGTATGAACCTCCCTCACGCCCCTCCTGGTCTTCCCGCAGAACGCCCGCGGGTTGAGGGCGGGGTCCACCCACGCATCGCTGTCATCACACCCACACACGTACGTAAGATCACCTGCCCCGTCACTGCCACGCCCACGCCCATCGTCTTCTGGGCCAGAGAGAACCACGACCGCAGGGAGGCAGCAAGGGTGGTGGGCGGCCCACCCAGTGGTGAGTGTGGGAAGCCCTCCCAGTGGTTAGTGTGGGTGGTGGTTAGCCCACCCAGTAGTGAGTGTGAGTGGTGGGTAGCTCTACCAGCGGTGAGTCGTGTACTCAGAATTGTGTTTGCGGGGGTCGAGGCTCAGCTCCTGGGCTCGCCGTCTATACCACCTTGATCGGTATCACTGACTTCTTGCTTCTTGGGCCTTATCACGTCATATCTATTCTCGAGGCTGTGTATTGGCTTTGTCTCTACCACTGCCTCATCCAAATCACTGAACTTTTCAATCAGCCTGAGACGATAGAAATACTTCCTTACATCCTTGTAGTTCATCTGTATCTTCACCTTCCACCTGTGTCCTCTTGATCCTGGCCATTATAAGTCAGTGTGTCCTTATCTGCCCTAACTATTCCTCTTAGGATTTTGTCATAATCATATCTATCTTCGCTCTTCTCTCCAGTTGGCTCGTCAGGGATGAGTTCCTTCAACTTCTCATAAAGTATTTAATTTTCTGCTGGATTCTTTATTCAGGTTCCAGAATACTGTTCTTAGGTTTACTAACCTTGCATGTGCCACTGGCGTTGTACAGTTTGTGTATTTCTGGTGATATGTTTGGTGTTATATTTACCTTCAGGTCCTTTACACTCTCGGATATTTGCAGCTTCCCACCTCCCACACTGTACTCTGTCTGGTCTGCCCTCACCTTCACCAGTTTGCATGGATTTATATTTGTTCGGATTGAACTCTAGAAATCACTTGTTTGCCCACATCTGCAGTCTGGCCCCACCTGAGTTACTGACAGTCACACTCAGTTCCTAACCTTATAAGCTATATAATACCTTCTCTTAAAAGTGTTTGTGATATATGCTGCCAGCACTTCCTCATCCAGATCGTTCCACTGCATGTGTACTAATTCTATTTCTCCTGTGTCACAGATGGTGTGCAGAATCAGCAGGTGGGGCTAGAAGCTCCCCAGGTGGTTGTGTACAGCAGTGGCACAGATGATGCAGGTGGTGATGAAGGTGGTGATGCAGGTGGTGGTGCAGGTGGTGTGAGGGTGGACTCGGAACACAGTCTTCACGTCACAACCACTCATGAAGGTCTCTGGGCGTGTATGGCAGCAAATGAGGTACTCTTTACTCCTTGTAATAATAATAACTAGATGTATTTTGGTCACTGCTTGATCCGTGAAAGGTGTCCCTGTGTCACATAAGCTCAGTCTCCTCTATCTCAATGCAAGCAAAAGGAATAGTGTAAAGTGGTCATAAAATTTTAATGCAGGAAAATATAAAAGTGTGCGTTATACCCAGCTATTAACACTTTTTGATGCTAGGGTATTAAGATTTTTAATACCCTGGTATTAAAAAAGTCTGAAATTATGATGCTGATCAAAAGATGATTGTTAAAGCAATATTGTGGAAAATAATTTTGTAAGCAGCTGTGCTTGTCAGTTGCTGTATGAAGCTTCACTTAGTAATGGTTGATCAGTGTTTGAAATCTGAAGCCGATTTCATAAGGCTTTGTGAAGTTATAAATGAAAAACCTTATATGGTAATAAGAAACTGTAGCTAACAGATGGATGGCTCTGGCATCATGTAAAAAAAATCACTATAAAAAATTAGAATATTCAATTATTTTTCAATATTTTTATTTTTTGCAGTTGTATTGTATTAGTTTTAAAATTCTCTACAACCCTGTAAGAGAAAAACTCAATTTTGTGTTTTTTAAGATGGTCCAATTTGAAGAAAATTCCAGCAATTCCAAGTTTAAAAAAATATTTAGTTCACTGACAGATTTGCCCCAAAGAATTATATTTGCTAACAGGATTTTACAGAATTTAAAAAGTAATAAAAAAGCAGAAAGAAATATCAAGAAAATATTGAAAAAAAAAAAAATAGCGTTTTTAAAGGAGGATGCACCAGTGTAGAGATTTTAAAGACAACCACATTCGTCTTTCTTCAGTTATCACCTGGAAGCAAAGCCTAGGAATGGTGTCTGTAACATTGTGCAGTCACGCCAGCAGATAGTCATATGAATTATGCTGTAGATACATTACATCAAGGTTGAAAATTGAAAGACTGTTGAATAAGGCATTCTCGAGTTATACACAAAAAAAATTGGATTGAGAAATGAAAAATATTGCTGAGAAATGTTGCAAAAATATGAAAAACTATCCTTGTTAAATTTAAAAATGCCATAAAAATGCAATTTTTTTATTCTTTTCAGTTCCTTTCTCATTTATATTCTTTTTCAAATCATTGACAATTACATACATGTATATAAGAAAGTATTTTTAAATTATTGAATATAAATGAGTTTCTCTAATAAAATAAGCATATTGGCGCTTATGCCACCCAGTACTACCATTAAGTTTGTGTTCAGAAAGCCACATTAATGGTGTAAATTTGAACGTAATCAGACGAGCCATGGTTCCATTATGGCGCAGACTGAAACAATTTCAAGTTTCTGTTTAACTATTTTATTACATCATGATATTTGCCAGCACACAAATGAAACTTAATAGTTACTATCCTGGCCCTAAGTTACATCAGCTGTAAAATATTGAAGCTGTTCACAAGAGGTAAATAAATTTATTTAACTTGATTTAACGGGAAAAAATGGTCAGATGTGAACTATTACACACTTGAATTTCATTCTCCACCATCGTCATTTTTTTGAACATTTGAAGCAACGTGCAGCCAGCAGTAACAGCCTGGTTGATCAGTTCCTGATCCAGTGAGAGGCCTGGTCACAGACTGGGCCGTGGGGGCATTGCCCCCAGAACACCCTCCAGGCATATATCACTGAGGGTTTTGGAAGGAATCCCAGACATTCCAGGATGCTGGGAATGGGTTCAGTAACTTTGGTCATAGGGCAACTGTTCCAAGAATCTGGTCCTAGTGACCATGCACAAACCTGGAAAATTTGAAGCCAATTGGATGAAGGATTCTGGAGTTATGAACAATAAAATAAAAAAAGTTGGGGAAAAAAATAGGCAACTTCTTTAAGATCCACAATCATAATAATAATAATAATAATAATAATAATAATAATAATAATAATAATAATAATGTATTTTCAACTCTCATACTTGAATATTTTTTTTTCAAAACATGCATTAACTAATTTAATACTTCAAGTTGCTTTAACCAGAAGATTTGATTTTTTCCATTATAGATTGTCAGTTAGGCAGAAATATTAATTACCTTAGCATAAATTTGTTTCAGGTGGGCGGACTGGTGGTTCCAGTGAGGGTGGTGGGTGGAGGAGTGACGCACGGTACTGTGGGTGTGGGCGTGGTGGGTGTGGACGAGGTGGAGGCAAGGGCATCCCTTCTCATGCCCACTCTGGAGCAAGGCTACCCAGCCCACCCTTCACCCACTACAACTACTGTCACCTGGAGACTGGTGAGTTGCTCTCTCTCTCTCTCTCTCTCTCTCTCTCTCTCTCTCTCTCTCTCTCTCTCTCTCTCTCTCTCTCTCTCTCTCTCTCTCTCTCACACACACACACACATTCTCACCTCAATTACTCTCACCACTCTCTCTCACACACTCTTACACATACTCTCTCACACTGTTTCACTCACTTACTCACACTGTCTCTCACATTCTCACAATATTTCTCTCTCTCTCACACACACACTGGGGCCAGGAGCTTTAACTTGACTCCTGCAACCATAAATAGGTGAGTACACACACACACACACACACACACACACACACACACACACACACACACACACAGAAAGGGAACAGAAACGAGGCACTAAACTACAGACCAGTGTCTCTGACATGTATTGTGTGCAAAGTCATGGAGAAGATTATCAAGAGGAGAGTGGTCGAACACCTGGAAAGAAACAAGATTATAAATGAAAACCAGCGTGGGTTCATGGAAGGCAAATCCTGTGTCACAAACCTTCTGGAGTTTTATGACAAGGTAACAGAAGTAAGACAAGAGAGAGAGGGGTGGGTTGATTGCATTTTCCTAGACTGCAGGAAGGCCTTTGACACAGTTCCCCACAAGACAGAATGAAAATGACATAGAATTGAAAGCTAAGTCTCACCCAAAACTGCTGTATAGCCACATTAGGAGGAAGACAACAGTCAAAGACCAGTTGATCAGGCTGAGGAAAGAAAGTGGGGAGCTCACGAGAAGCGATCAAGAGGTATGTGAGGAGCTCAACAAGAGATTTAAGGAAATATTTACAGTGGAGACAGGAAGACCTCTGGGTGGACAAAACAGAGGGAGACGCCAACAAGGAATTTACCAACAAGTGTTAGATAAAATACAAATAACTGAGGAAGAGGTGAAAAAGCTGCTAAGGAACATTGATACCTCAAAGGCAATGGGACCTGGTAACATCTCCCTGTGGGTCCTTAGAGAGGGAGCAGAAATGCTGTGTGTGCCACTAACCACAATCTTCAACACATCCCTTGAAACTAGGCAACTACCTGAGGTATGGAAGACGGCAAATGTAGTACCCATATTTTAAAAAGGAGACAGAAAAGAGGCACTAAACTATAGACCAGTGTCACTGACGTGCATTGTATGCAAAGTAATGGAGAAGATTATCAGGAGGAGACTGGTGGAACACCTGGAACAGAACAAGAGTATAAATGCCAAACAGCACGGATTTGTGGAAGGCAAATCCTGTGTAACAAAACTACTGGAGTTTTATGATAAAGTAACAGAAGTAAGACACGAGAGAGAGGGGTGGGTTGATTGCATCTTCTTGGACTGCAAGAAGGCCTTCGACACAGTTCCTCACAGGAGATTGGTGCAGAAGCTAGAGGATCAGGCGTGTATAGCAGGAAGGGCGCTGCAATGGGTCAGAGAATGCCCGACAGGGAGGCAACAATGAGTCATGGTACATGATGAGGTATCACAGTGGGCACCTGTGACGAGTGGGGTCCCACAGGGGTCGGTCCTAGGACCAGTGCTATTTTTGGTATATGTGAATGACGTGATGGAAGGGTTAGACTCAGAAGTGTTCCTGTTCGCAAATGATGTGAAGATAATGAGGAGAATTAAATCAGATGAGGATCAGGTAGGACTTCAAAAAGACCTGGACAGATTGGACACCTGGTCCAACATCTGGCTTCTCGAATTTAACCCCGCCAAATGCAAAGTCATGAAGATCGGGGAAGGGCAAAGAAGACCGCAGATGGATTATAGGCTAGGTGGCCAAAGACTGCAAACCTCAATCAAGGAGAAAGATCTTGGGGTGAGTATAACTCCGAGCATGTCTCCAGAAGCTCACATCAACCAGATAACTGCTGCAGCATATGGGTGCCTGGCAAATCTGAGAATAGGGTTCCGATACCTTAGTAAGGAATCATTCAAGACACTGTACACTGTGTACGTCAGGCCCATATTGGAGTATACAGCACCTGTTTGGAACCCACACTTAATCAAGCATGTCAAGAAATTAGAGACAGTGCAAAGGTTTGTGACGAGGTTAGTTCCAGAGTTAAGGGGAATGTCCAAGGTTAAGGGAAATCGGCCTGACGACACTGGAGGACAGGAGGGTTGGGAAGACACGATAACAACATACAAAATACTGCATGGAATAGACAAGGTGGACAGAGACAGGATGTTCCAGACAGGGGACACAGAAACAAGGGGTCAGAATTGGAAGTTTAAGACCCAAATGAGTCAAAAGGATGTTAGGAAGTATTTCTTCAGTCATAGAGTCGTCAGGAAGGGAATAGCCTAACAAGTGATGTAGTGGAGGCAGGAACCATACTTAGCTTTAAGATGAGGTATGACAAAGCTCTGGAAGCAGAGAGAGAGAGAGAGAGAGAACCTAGTAGCACTCAGTGAATAGGCACAGCCAGGAGCTGAGTCTCGACTCTTGCAACCACAATTAGGTGAGTACACACACACACACAGGAAGGCAGGGCAAATGAAGCCAAACTACAAGAAAGGGGACTACAGTGGGACAGAGAACTGGCAGGGAAGCCAATTAATGATATGATGGAATATGTAACAACAATGTGCAAGGAGGCTGAGGAGAAGTTTGTACCCAAGGGTAACGGGAATAAGAAAAAGCCAGGAGACCCCTGGTTTCCCAAAAAGGTGAGGGGGCAAAAATAAAGGGGTGATAGGGAATGGAAAAATATAGAAGGCAAAGGACCCAGGAGAATAAGGAGAGCAGTCATAGAGCCAGAAATGAATATGCACAGATAAAAAAGGGGGGCTCAACGACAAAAAAAAAAACGAATAGCAGCAAAAGAAAAATCTGACCCAAAATGTTATACAGCCACATAGGGGGAAAAAACAACCGTCAAGGACCAGGTAACGGCTAAGGAAGGAAGGGGGAGAGAAAAACAAGAAATGCCCGTGAAGATGTGAGGAATCAAAAGGATTCGAAGAATGTTCCAGGGAGACAGAAGGGCTCCGAATCCGGAGGGTGGGGTACACCCAAGTGCGGGACACAGTACACAAAACCGAGGGAAAAAGTGAAGAGGCTTCTGGGGGCTAATATTCAAAGGCAAGGGGGCCCCAGAAAACTCTCCATGGGCCCGAGGGGGGGCAGGGGCCCATATGTGTACCCCCTAACAACAACATTCAATACATCTATCAAAAACGGGAGATTGCCTGAGGCATGGAAAAACAGCAAATGTAGTGCAATCATTAAAAAGGAGATAGACATGAAGCACTAAATACAGCCCCGTGCCTGACTTTATAGTATGCAAAGTCTGGGAAGATTACGGGAAGAGTGGTGGGAAAACCTAAAAGGAAAGATTCATCAAAAACAGCCAACTGGTTTTCAGGGCGGGGGAAAACCCGTGTCACAAACCACTGGAGTTTTGACATGGTGACAGCAGTAAGAAAGAGAGGGGGGGTGGGGGATTGCATTTTTTTGGCCTGCAAGAAGGCGTTTGCACAGTTCCCACAAGAATTTGGCAAAAACTGGAGGACCCAAACAGGGGGTTAAAGGGGGAAGGATACAATGGATCAGGGAATACTTGTCAGGAAGACAGCAGCGAGTCATGGTACGTGGTGAGGTGTCAGAGTGGGCACCTGTGACCAGTGGGTCCCACAGGGGTCAGTCCTAGGACCAGTACTGTTTCTGGTATTTGTGAACGACATGACGGAAGGAATAGACTCTGAGGTGTCTCTGTTTGCAGATGACGTGAAGTTGATGAGAATTCATTCGATCGAAGACCAGGAAGAACTACAAAGGGATCTGGACAGGCTGTAGACCTGGTCCAGCAATTGGCTCATGGAGTTCAACCCCACCAAGTGCAAAGTCATGAAGATTGGGGAAGGGCAAAGTAGACCGCAGACGGAGTACAATCTAGGGGGCCAGAGACTACAAACCTCACTAAAGGATAAAGATCTTGGGGTGAGTATAATGCCAGGCACATCTCCTGAAGATCTTAGGGTGAGTATAATGCCAGGCACATCTCCTGAAGCGCACATCAAACAAATAACTGCTGCAGCATATGGGCGCCTAGCAAACCTTAGAACAGCATTCCGACATCTTAATAAGGAATCGTTCAGGACCCTGTACACCGTATACGTTAGGCCAATATTGGAGTATGCGGCACCAGTTTAGAACCCACACCTAGCCAAGCACGTAAAGAAACTAGAGAAAGTACAAAGGTTTGCAACAAGACTAGTCCTAGAGCTAAGGGGTATGTCCTACGAGGAGAGGTTAAGGGAAATCGACCTGACGACACTGGAGGACAGGAGAAATGGGGGACATGATAACGACATACAAAATACTGAGAGGTATTGACAAGGTGGACAAAGACAGGATTATCCAGAGATGGGACACAGCAACAAGGGGACACAGTTGGAAGTTGAAGACACAGATGAATCACAGGGATGTTAGGAAGTATTTCTTCAGTCACAGAATAGTCAGGAAGTGGAATAGTTTGGGAAGCGATGTATTGGAGGCAGGATCCATACATAGCTTTAAGCAGAGCTCACGGTTCAGGGAGAGTGACCTAGTAGTGACCAGTGAAGAGGCGGGACCAGGAGCTAGGGATCGACCCCTGCAACCTCAACTAGGTGAGTACACACACACACACACACTACTGGTATTTATTAGCAGTATGAATACTTAGAAGTGGGGGCACACACACATACACACATACACACACACATACACACATACACACATACACACACACACACATACACACACACACACACACACACGAGAGTGCAGTAACAGTTACACCTCAACCACATACCAACTACCTTCCCTACCCCCACTGGACATCCAGTCCCAAGCCCTCTCTCTCTCTCTCTCTCTCTCTCTCTCTCTCTCTCTTTCTCTCTCTACCTTTTTCTCTCTCCCTCTCTTTCCATCTTTCCCCTCCCTCTGCTCTATCTCTATCTCTTCCCTTCTATCTTCTCTCTCCACCTCTCGTTCTCTCTCTCCCCTCCTCAC